TGGTGTCACCTGCCCCTGGCTATCTTCCCTGGGTAGCCCTTCTTCCATCAAACATACACGTTGTGCTGCTCTTCAAGGCTATTTGGGAGCCTGTTGGAAGAGGACAATTTCTTGTTCATCGTTGTGTCTCTAGAGCCTATCACAATGCCTGGCATACAGTTGAATTTCTTTTCACCATCCCCATTAGGCATCTAGTTCAACCTGAATACTTGTTCTCTCCTGTCTAGAAAATCATAACCTAAGAACAGGTAAAAATAGACTGACTTACAAGGGAGGATTTTCATTTACTAGAAAAAACAAAATCAACTTTTTCCCCCCAGCTTTATTGAGGTATAGCTAACAAATAAATATTATACATATTTAAGGTATACAAGATGGTGATTTAATATACCTACACATTATGAAATGATTACCACAATCAAGCCAATTAATACATTAATCAACTCTTAGTTACCCCCCCCTTTTAAAAAAATTTTCTTTTATAAAATGAGAAAGTTCTGGGTATCCAATGTACCGCATGGTAATTCTAGTTCATAATCCTAGATCATGTATTTGAAATTTGCTCAGAGGTCAACTCTTAACCAAAAAAAATCAGTCATGAATGATGAGATTTATGGTATTAACAGAGTGAGTACTTATGGCACAGTACTCTTGCTTATCCTTAAAATTGAATATTATAGATAATCCTCTATTCTGTTTATACTTGTCCTAGCAAGTTTTTGCATAAAAGTTTACTGGAATCAAGTATGTTAAACACAAAACTTCAAGTTTAGTAAAGATACCCATTACCAGCCTATGAATAATACATTTTCATTGAGTGAATAAATCCCATGAGTGAATAAATCTCAGATCATCCTGTTATGATCATGTGTGTGTTTGTGTGTGTGTGTGTGTGTGTGTGTGTGTGTTGTGTGTGACTACTTCAGTGTGTAATCTGTTTGGAACTAAAAAGTAATTGTAATTTGTTAAACAGGTATTGTTGTGGGGGGGAGAATATCTGATTGCAAAAAACAAATGAATAAATTCAATCCCAAAACAAAGAGAGATGTTCAGACTACTTGGTGTTCCTCTTTGTAATGTGGATGGAACAAAGCTGACTTAGCTGCAGCAGTGTCTTCACAGTTATGCCAGGAGTTCCTCCCGGGGTGAAGGGGGTCAATCTAAATGATTTACTCTGTGTTGTAACTTCATCACTGTTGAATTAAAGATGACCTGAGGCCCTAATAACTGTTATTTGACTTAGAAAAATCATTCCTAATATATAAAACCTACTCTGAAGGTTCCTGCAGGTCATTGACCCACATTCCTATGCACAGAATTAACATTACTTATTTTTCACTACTGGCATGGTGTCATTATCTGAAAAAATGCTATCTGGTACATGTAAATTAAACCCTTTAATTTTTTCTAAAATGCCTTTTAATTCTCTTTAATTCTTAGATAAAAAAGGACCCAGGATTTGGGATATTGGGATCCAATAAAGTAAATGATGTGAAAACCAACAACTGCTTTGGGGATAAAAGTGAAGATTTTAGTGACTACGCTGTTACTCTCTCTTGCTTCCTCTGGGAAAGTTTCTCTAATGGAATGAAACTTAGGGATCAAGAAAACACACAGAGACGTACGTGCTTACAGTTAAGACAGAACATGATTTGGGAGCAAGTCTTTCTTTTCTCCTTTCATTTTCTTACACCCAAATAACAAGATTCAGGTGCTGGCACACGGTGAAGACATGAGAACATCGTAAAGTCAGGTGAGCTAAAGCCAGGATAGCTAGAGAGATGTTTTTTGTTTTTTTGATTTTATTTTCAGTTTTAACCCTTTTTAAGCTGTGGCCTTCTGAGGCTTTTTAGCTGAGGTATTTAGGTTTGGGAAGAACCACTGCTTGCACACATAGCCTCTTACTACAGCCTCCACCAGGCGGCCTTGCCCCAAATTGTGCATCGTATTGCTAGATCTAAGGAGGAAAGGAATTACATGTTCCTACCCATAGATGCCAAAAAGTGATTTGTCGAAATTCAACATCTAATCTGATTTTTAAAAAAATCAATGAGATAGGAATCAATGGCTACTTCCCTGACAAGATAAAGTATGTCTTATTTAATGGAGAAACATTGTTCCAACTGTTAGGAAAAGGGCACTGAAATCTGCTATTGTCGCTATTTAGCTTTGCAATAGAGTTCTCTGCCAAATCAAAGAACCAAGCAGGAACAATTAGAGGCATGAGAATTATAAGAGGCAAAACTGTATCTATATTAAGAACATATGAAACATGAAAAACTAGGAGAAAGCCAAAATCATTTATGTTAAGAGAATTACAATAAAAGGATTCAGACGAAGATTGAGATACAAAATTGACTTACCCAAATCAATAGACTGTATATACAAACTTAGCCAGTACAATTCAGTGGCAGAGAACATCTATTCAAACTAGAGCCATAGAGAGAGAGATATCAATACATTTCTTTCAAAATCAGACATGTTCTGGCAAATCAAAACATATTAACAGAATAATTGAGCAAATTAATAAACAAATTGGTTCATATAACTACATCATATATAAAGGCCATTCTTCATATAAGCAATTAATTTTTTTATTTGTCCATAGAATATTCTAAATTAATCATGTGGTTGACCACAAAGAAAACCTTCCAAAATTACAAAATTAAAAATTTTCAGGCTGTATTCCTAATTCATTTTTTAACAGAGGAAAAAAAGTTAGAAAAATGGTGACTTAACATCCATAGCTCTTATTTGGTAATCATGTAATTTAATCAATAAATTTAATTAGTAATTAAATCCATAGTCTCTTAATTGGAAATTTAGAGATGCCATCCTGTATAATTCCTGAATCAATGATGAAATCAAAACTAACATCAAAAACTGTCTAATAAGAAACAACATGGAGAAAAAAGTCACATGACAATGTATGAGACATAGCCAGGAGTAAACCTAATGTAAACTATGGAGTTTGGGCGCATAATGATATGTCAACGTGGGTCCATCAGTTTTAACAAATGTAACACTGCGGGGGGATGTTGACAGTTGAGAAGGCTCTGCATGGCTGGGGACAGAGAGCATATGGGAAATCTCTGTACTTTTTGCTCAGTTTTACTGTGAACCTAAACGTGCTCTTAAAAAGTTCACTTTCAAAAATTAAAAACTTTGTGGAAAACACATATGAGAAAACAAACTCAGTACAGGGAGAAAAATATATAGACTTCCATCCTGGCATATTCAAGAAGAATTTTAACCTATCTTAAGAAATTCAGTGGGTAGGAACAAACAAAAATTAATAGGAAAAGAGAAATCATGAGGTAAAAACTGAAAGTAGTGAAATATATTAAAAATAATATTTTGAAATGAATAAATACATAAAGGGATCAAGGGTCAAACTGATGGAAGATTCCACGGCAGTTGGCAGCCCTAACAGCAAGCTGGCCCTGGTGCAGGAGTGGTGAGGGGGAGGCGCACATTCTCTAGCTTCACAGTGTTGACTGCTGGGGCTTGCAGGTCCCGAGAGGCAAAGCAATTGCCCTCGAGACAGAAGGGAGTTGCCATTCCAGAGGCAGCCTGTGTTCGACAGGCCGAGCTCTCTTGCTGCATTCATGATGACCCCGAAGGGCCACCCCAGAGCTTCTGGTGGGAGTGGCTAACGTTTCTCCCATTGCAACTAATTCTCAATTCAACATCTGCTCAAAGCTATTTCCCTGCTCAAAGACACTTACAGATGTGGTTCCCAGGTGTATGTACTCCTCAGTAAACTCCCTGCATACAAATCTCTGCCTCCTTCTCCAGGGAACCCAAATTAATACTGTGGTAATTGCTTACATATCATGTGTTATGTGCCAGGAACTCTTCAGTGTTGTACATCCCTAAACTCATCTAATCTGTACAAAATCCTTATGTAGTAAGAAGCGTTATTACCTCTATAACCACAAAGGTGCTCAGTGGTAGAGCCAGGATTTGAGGCCAGGATTCTGAAGTCCATCTTCTTAATCATGAGGTTTAAATATTTTGAGCACTGTTTCAAAAGACTGAAAAGATAAATTTAACAAGATGTGTAGAGAGGTTTGGAAGAGACATAGCATAGTATGTTTGAGGCAATGAAAGCAATACAGTTTGACTCATGGAAAGTGGTCTACAATGAGGTCAAGGAAATAGGCAGAGAGAAGCCTGTGTAGATCACTTTCATCTTAGTTCAGTAGCAGGTGCTTCTTTCGGATTTCAGTACAAGTCTGACTCTGATCTTAGGGCACACCACAGCTGCCTATTCAAGGAATCCAAGAACGTTTTCTCTGCCAAGTTACAAAGGCAATTCTGACAAGAAAACCTGCCTTATAGATGATTTTGAACTGTAGTGGTCTGTTGTATCAGGTCAGTTTTTGTGGTTTCAAGGCACTGGTCAATTTCTTAGGTGCTTGCCTAACTAAACTTCTTTAGGCTCTCCAAATGAGGACTCAAGTCTCTCTAAAACATCCTATGTTTTAAACAGTCATTTCCTTTTCTGATGCCAGCTGGCTGACTACTCATGTCCGTGGTCTTGAATTCTATTCTTCACCAGTTCCTACCTAATGCCAACGAATCTTGGAACATACCATTGTAGCTCTAAAATTGCACCTCTTTAGTCATGCCTGGCTACCTTCTTTCAAGGCCTCTTGATCTATTCCTATATCTGATAGTTCCCTGTCTATGTGATACCACATCTCTGATAACTCTCTCAGGACCTCTGGGCCCCTCGATCCTTCCACTGTGCTAGCCCCCAGGGGTCAACGGTAAAAACCAGTAGAGGATTCCATGGCAGTTGGCTGCCCTGACAGCAGATAGGACTGGTGAAGAGTGGGACTTAACTCCTCTGTTCCACAGGCTATTCCAGCTCATCCATTGCCAATGCCTCAGCAATCACTACAAGATTTTGCCTTCTTCTCATGACCAGCCAACACAGAGAAGAAACTTGTAAGATATTGGTGATGGTCTCAGCTTGAAATCCCCCAATCACAATGGTGCGAATATTGGCCAGAAATATCCAGGCCACCAACATGATCTCCTCCTTTGCCTCAGTCTTCTTGGCAGCAGGAATCATCATGGAAGAATGGGTTGTACTCAAGTTGGAAACACAAACAAATCCGATAAGCCACAGTCCATGGATATGCTGCAGTTTAGTTTGGCCAGAAGGTCAGAACTACACTATGGAAACCCATGGATGGAGAGGGAGGGTTCTTCTTCCCTTGACTTCCATTCATCTCACCAGCTTACCCATTATTTTCTGGTGTGGTGTGCCTAGTTCCAGTCAAGGTGGCTGAAAATCTCACCCTTTTGTGTATTTGGGAGAAAATCTTAGAAGCTCACAGACTTAACTGTTGGATGTTTCAGAAATCTTGGCAGTAACATCAAGGTAACTGACCTGAAAAAGCTTGCATTGCCCCTGGAGGAGGACAGGACGAATTGGAGCATTTAACAAGAAATCGGTTCAGAGGAAAAAGTAGAAGCTTACAGAGACACCAAGATGGAGAAGAGTTCTTTCTGGTTCTCCCATTCAGCTGTCTCTTTATTCCACCCTCTCTTTCTTCATTATTATTTAATTAAATCTTTCATCTCACTCCTATTTTTGCCTAGAGATTTGAGGCTCAGAGGTGGAAGTGAGACTAGAAGAAATAATCGTCCTTCTCTAACATACCTTCTGCTTTCCCACAGAAAACCTGGAAGTGGTCAGGATCATGATGGTTTTGGTGCTCAGCCTTTCCTTCATCTACATCTATTTCCTGGGTTTAGAACTCTTCTATCGGATTCGTCAAACTAAACACGTCCTCTACATCATGGTCTTCCTCAGTTTCTTCACAGGTAACTTCCTAGCTCCCCTAACTCAGGCTTGGATGCATGCTTGTTGGTGGGTCCAGGTTGCAGCCTCTAACTATCTTGGCCTTTCCAGTTCTTTTGCTCAGCTTCTGAACTGGATGTGACCCTGAGTAGAATCAGTCTTTGGACAAAGTACGGTTGTACGGGGCGGAGGCTTGGACGTCAGGCATATCTTGGGTTCAGACTTGAGCAGAAGAGCAAAAGGTCCTCAGAAGGGGCTCATGTCTCCTTTTTGTCTGGATCTCAGGTATCCTTCTGCTCTGTGCACTTCTACTGTACCAGCAAAAGCTAAGGCAAGGTGAATCCGTGTACTACTCTAGTTACAAGATCACCTGGATCATTTTTACTGCCTACTTAAGTGTTTTCTTCTTTATTGTCTCTGGTGAGTGTCCTTAGGACCTTTGATGGGTGATAAGAACAAATCTACCTCCAACAGAGGAGACAGTGAAAGGATGGATGGGAAACAGGAGTAGGGAAAGGTGCCAACTATTGCATTTTAAAGGATTAATGTTCAAGTGGACTTACTCTTTCAGAACAGTTCGTACAAGGATAGAATTGGAGATTAGGGCTGTGTGAAATGTTCATTATGCTTGTTTCCAGGGGCAGCTCCTCATTTTTGCCCTTTCTATCTTTCCCATGCTCCCCACATCAGGGCAGAGATGCCCCTCAAAGACATGACCAAGGAGAGTGGCTGATACCGAATGCTCTCTTACATGGAGAGGGACAGTGACACTGGGCATACAGTGTATTACCCAGCAGTTTGAAGTCAGGGAGAAACAATATCTGATACTAAATTGCCAGTCACCAACACTGGAGACCCTCCTTTTCTAAGAAGTCTTCAAAATTGCATTTGAAATTATAGTTCCTAACTCAGAAGAATGTCCTCTTTCGAAAAGAATCCTCAATTTTGTTGAGTTGAGTAGCATCCCTAATGGCTGTGGCAATTCAAAGAGACCCACTAGGCTTTGGGTCAGGGTCTTCCTATCAACTTGGAGGGCACTGTTTCTGTGACTGTCCCTTGTTCCCTCATCACCCTCCCTGGCTTCTCTTTTCCCCAGGATTCCTCTCTCTCCTAGAGCACAAGCAGTCCATCAGGGGTTGTGCCTGCCTGACCACCATTGATAAACCTGCCAAAGAAAGCCAGGACTTGGAGCCATCTGGGACTTCCGTCACAGTTGTCTTGTTACCAGAACGCACTGCAATGCCTTGAAGTATTGTCCATGTGCACACTACACATAGAATGGAAAATTCTCCAAACACATCACATGTCCAAGCATGTTGGGTAACTTGGACTGTAGGATTTGACAGCCTGCCTTTCAGTATTTGCTCATCTTAATGGAAATAGCTTTGTGTTTCTCTAGCTCTGTTGTGTGTGTGTGGCATTATGTAAATGACTGTGACTGGGTTGGGATCTGTAAGATCCAGAAGGTGGCTTTTTTTTTTTTTAAATCCTGGCCTGCTGAACAAAGTTTCTTTTGTTCATTCTCACTATTTAATAACATTTGTTATTAACCTAATAAATATTATCATATAACCAATACTTGCTGTATTCTTAACTTTATACATCACAAAGATTTAAAATAATACATACTACCTGTTGTTTCTTTTGTTTATTTTATTGTGAAATATTTCAAACATTCAGAAAGATTACCAAGCAATAAGATAAACACCGTGTACACATCACCTAACTTTATGAAGATGTAACATTATGCCCTATTTTCTTTGAATGTTTTCAAATTAAATTTATAGACACATCTGATGGTCTTCTAAAAATTTCCCTAATTTCATTTCCCTCTATTGTTGCTCATCACAAAACACAAAAAATAACAAAACAACATTGCTGATCATATTACATTCACGTTGGCATTTTTGCTACTACTTTATACATGTACAGCAGTTATGTAGATTAGCTTTCTAAGTGTTCAGAGATTATTACATGTCACACTATACAGATCATTTTTTTGCAATTTTGTTTACTCAACTCTATGGTTTTGTGATTTATTTTTACTTTATTCATTGAAATGACTGTTAAGCTTTCCATTGTAGATGGAAGTGTAAAATACTCATTTTCCAGTTGATGGAAATCAGGTTGTTTTATTCTGTGGCAAACAATGCTGCTAGAATGTGCTTATACATGGTTCCCTCTGTCCTTGAGCTAGATTTCTCTAGGGCATTTATCTAGGAATAGAAATAGCTGGAGCAGAGAATATATTCATTTTGAAGTCACCTAAATATTGACAAAATGATATGATATAAAAAAATCATTGTACAAATTTACACTTTCACCAGCTGTGTATGAAAGTTCTAGTTTCTTGGTGCCCTGTATGATTAGTCTTTTCAATCTCTTACTATTTGAGCTATCACTGACTTTGTGTGCTTTTTCATTATTGAGCTCTTAGATTTCCTCTTCTGTGAATTGGAATTCTAATGAATTTCCAATTCCTAATGAATTATTTTTATTATTGAATTGTAGTTCTCATAGATTGGAAACTAATACTAATTGATAGTGCCATGACTTTTCACTTTATGCTGTCTTTTTGTTTTTCAGAGGACTTCAAATGAAGTATAACACAATGCATCTACTGTTCCTTTTAGTTGCTGTCTTATTGTCTCTTGTTTAAGAAATCCTTCTCTACTCTTTACTCAGACTAACTGGGAATGATCTTTGTGAGTTATTTAAGATATAAATCCAAATCTACTTTCCATGTGGTAACCAATTTTCCAGAACATTTTATGACTTAATTTTTTATCTTACTGATTTGTGACATTAGGTGCATGGTATATCAAGTATTCATACATTTGAGTATGTTTCTGATCTCTCTAGTATATTCCGTTGGTCTATTTTTATATCCATGCATTGTAACACAGTCTTAAATACCATGCAGTAAAAACAAAGTATTGATATTTCGTAGGCCCAAGTCCTTTTTCTTACTTAAAATTTTATTTTGATTTGTTCTTTGTCTTTTGGTCTCCATATAAATAGTAGGATTAGTGTCTATGTTTCCACAAAAATCCCAGTCATGATTTCATTAGAATCATATCAATTTATTAACTAATTTGGGGAGAATTAGTAATGCTAATAATATTTAGTTACTCAATAAAAAAAATATGATCACATTTATTCAGATCTTTTATGTTCTACCATAACATTTTGTGATTTCTTTGCAGAGAGATCTTTTGTTTGGTTGATTCACAGATAACTTGCTGTTTTGTGCTTTCGTGAATTGGAATACTTTTCAATATTTTCTAGTTGCTTATTACTAGTGTAAAGTTACTGATTTTTTTTATCAAGCAACTTTATCCAGCTATTATTTTAGTTCTAATAACTTATCTATAGATTCTCTTAGATTATCTTTGGAGGAAAAGATATTGCCTGCATAATAGGAAGTGCTTTTTTTCTTTCAATACTACTATCACTTACTTCTTTTTTATTATCTTGTCTTATTCTTTGGCTCAGACCTCCATGATATCAGGTTGAATGGGAAAAAGACAGTAAGAATCCTTTCCTTGTTTCTTATTTTAGTGAGCACGCCTTTATAAACCTAACAGTTGATGTATGCACTGTAGAATTTGGCATATTTACCTTATCAAATTGAAGGACTCCCCCTTATATAGCTAATTTGCAGAATGTATTTACTAAAAGTAACATTTAATTTTATTGAGTATTTTTATGCATCTATTGAAATGATTTTTTCTCTAATACAATAATAAGATGTATTTCATATTTAAATTATAATTTGTGGAGATTTTTCCATATTTTATTATGAACTATTTCAAATACACAGAAAAAAATAGAAAACAATATAAACACCTGTGTACTCATTGCCTAACCTTATACAATATTAACATTAAGCCCTACTTGTTTTAAATTATTTTAAATCAAATTTACAGAGTCATCTGATGTTCCTGTACGTATCCTCGAACTCATTTTCCTCTCTTGCTTCTCATTGCAAAACACTTTACATACTTAGAAAAATCTCTATTCATATAGTTGATATACAGCTGAAATAAATTTTCTAATCATTTTAGAATTCTTGAAACTATTTCTTTAAGTAAAATTTGGCTATAATTTCTCTTCATGCACTTTCCTTGTCCATTTTATTTCATTTAACTGTGTTTTATTTTGGAAGAAGATTCAAGTAAATTTTTTTGAAATATAACATGAATACAAAACAGTTCACAAATGGTAAACGCATGTTTACAAAGAGAACATACTTGTGTAACCAGTCCTCAAATAAAGAAACAGAATGTTAATAGCACCCTGAATGTCTCCATTTGAGACATCTACATGCCATTTGAGTACAAAAGCATTAATTTCAAGAGCTACAGATTGATTTTGTCTGATTTTACATTTCATAGAGAGGGAGTCACTTGGTGTGCACTCTCCGTACCTGGCTTCTTTTATGAGATATTATCTGTGTGAAATGATTAATGATTTGCACGTGTGGCAGTCGACTCATAGTCATTGTTACAGAGAATTCTGTTCTGTGAATATACTACAATATATCCATTCTACTATTATGGACATTAGGTTGTTTCCAGGTTGGAAACTATAAACATGCTTGTGACTATATTTTCATGTACATAGTAAATAATTTTGCGGGTCATCCACCCACAAGGGAATTTTTGAGTCGTAGGCTAACCAGATGTGCTTTGAGTTGTAACCATCAAATGAGTATTCACAGTGGTTGTACCAATTTCACATTCCCATCAGCAGTGTGAGGGAGTTCCAGTTGCCCTATATCTTGACTTGATGTTGTCTTTTTCATGTAGCCAAGGAACTCTGGTGATGTGTAACAATATGGCAAAAGTAAAAAAAAAGTCAAAATGAAAGCTGTGATTTTAATTTGCATTTCCCTTTCGACTGAAGTGATTTTCATTTGTTTATTGGCCATTTGGATAGTCTCTTTTTTGACTATCTGTTCAAATATTTTCCCATTTATCTATTATCTGACATTTAATTATGTTTTGGCTGAAGTCCTTTGTCAAATATATGTACATTGTAAATACATTCTTCCACTCTGTAGCTTGCCGTTTTATGCTTATAATGCAGTCTTGGATGAACAGATGTTCTTATTGGCTGTAACCCTATTTATCAATTGTTTCATTTTAATGGATAGGGTTTTCTGTATCTTATTTAAGGAATCTTTTCTTAATTAAACTCATGAAGATATTCTCCTTTTTTTTTTAATAAAAAGCTTTGTTGTTCCACTTTTCACATTTAGATCTTCAGTTCACCTAGAATTGATTTTTATGTATGCTATAAGATAGAAATCAAGATTTATTTTTCTTAAGTGAATAACCATTTGATCTAACATTTTTTACTGAAAAAATATTTTCCCTGCACTATCACATTTTATCATAAATCAGGTGATTATATTTGTGTAAGTCTGTTTTTGGACTATTCTCTTTTTTAGGGAGAGAGAGGGCTTTTCTAATGCCAATATACCTCACTTTCTCAATTCCTGGAGTTTTATACTTGATTTCTGGTAAGGTAAATCTTCCAGCTTCTTCAAGAATCTCTTGGATAATTTTGAAATATTTAATTTCTATTTTTTAGATTGAGTTTTTCAAATTACATAAGGAAATTTGTTAAGATTGGAATTGTGTTAAAAATATACATCCCTTTGGAGAGAAAGGATATCTTTACAATATTGAATTTCTTTGTCAATGAACAGGAATATCCTTCCAGCTATGTAAATCATCTTTAATACTTCAAAATACTACTTTTTGTTGTTTTCAGCATAGAGGCCTTTTACATCTTTTGATAAATGCATGTGTGGGTTTTTAAAAAATGTACTGATAATGGTGTTATTTTACAAATTCATTTTTATCTTTTATTGTTATTATATTGAAATATATTTCCAATCCATGAATACCTTTTGACAAGAGTGCAAAACCTATTCAACAGAGAACAGACTGTCTTTTCAACTAATGGTGCTGGGAAAATTGAGTATCTACATGCAAAAGAATGAATTTGGATCCTTTATACCATATACAAAAATTAACTCAAAATGGGCTGAAGATCTTAATATAACTAAGAGATCTAAAATGATTTGTGTTTTAGAAGAAAAAAATAGGGGAAAGTCTTTGTGACATTGGATTTAGCCATGATTTCTTAGATATGACACCACAGGCACAGGAAATGATAGAAAAAAATAGGTAACTTAGACTTTATTGAAATTAAAAACTTCTGTGCATCAAAGAACATTATCAAGAAAGCGAAAAGCTGGGGAGGGGTTCACGACGGCAGTGTGGGGTGATGCTGAACTCATGCCATGAGCACAACAAATTTATAACGACATATAGAATAATTTTCCTCTGAAAAGGGTCTAAGAACTAGAAGAACAGTACTTATACTACAGAAGATCAAAGAGATGCATTGAGAAGGGCCAGAGAGACAGAGACTCAGTCTCACCCAGGATCC